TTTCTACACTAGATACATGAACTGTAATTATTTTTTTTTGTCATTTTTTTTTTTATCGAAATGCATCATGGTACAATATCTTTCAAAACAATATATCATGGTATACACTACATTTTCATTCACACACAAACACACCTGCTCAGTTTAATGAACAATACTATATTATATAATTTGCATGATCCTACATTATACATCTATATTTATTAATACGTTTCTAGTTTCTGTTCTTAAATATATGAATTTTACTAATACATAAAATCTAGTTGCCAACTTCCTGTTTTCTTCCAAAGTAGCCAAGAAGAATGTTTGTATCTAAAAGTTCAATTTCTGTCCCAAACTTACAATTTGCCAATTTGATAACATTCTCCCAAGATTTTTGGCTGTATGGACAATCCCATAATAGATGTTTGATTGACAAAAGAATTGGAACTGAAATCTGGCGATTTTGACAAGATGAAAACCAAAATAGCTGAACTGGAGGAAACAATTTTATACTACGAATATCGAAGCAGAAAATACAACATCTTGATATATGGTCTAATGGCAAAGAAGAGATAAGCAAAACTGTTTCCAATTTTTTTATAAATGAACTTCATGCTGGGGAAGAATATGTGAAAAACTTGCCTATTTGTAATAAACAGAGAATTCAGAAAACCCATACAGAAACACTGAAAGCCCAGAAGCAATAATTGTGAAATTTATGAACTTTAGTGATAGAAACTATATACTATCCCTTTCATATAAGGTACGATTATCTGGAAAATCTGTGCGAACAGACCTTCCACAAGCCTTAAAAAAAGACGTGCAGAATTGTCTGATACGGCATATATTCTGAGGAAAGAGAAAAATCTCCAAACCCGAATTAAGGAAACTTTCAAAGATGTTTGGATTGATTGTCGAAAAGATAAGGACAGTCCACGGAAAAAAATACTGAAATTCTCTAATTATAGAGCAGGCCTACCTTATAGCCTAACTATATTATATAAGTTTACCCAACTAAACTAATCATGTCTAATTTTGGACCATGTTATACTAAATGAACTTTATTTTGTAGATAACATGACATATGATTGATTATCTTATACAGAGAAACAATAGACAACATGAGAAGGAGGAGATAATGCGCTGTTGAATTTGAATAATGATGTAAGGTAATATACAACATTAAAAAACAAAGAATTAAGATATACAGCCATGTTAAGCTGATATGGTGCAGATGCCCCTCCTCTCACATGCAGCCTGTTGCTCAATTAACTTGTCAAATGTTTATGTTTGTATGTATTACCATTATAATTATACATCTTAATGCTTCAAGCTATATCTATGATAATGAAAATGTAACTTTATAAGATAGATCATCTCACAGTGCATTTTACCAAATACAGAGTTCACTTTTGGCATGAGAATGTCAAAGAAGAGAAAAATCGGTCTATAATTCACTTTATATACAAAGGAGATAATCCATGAAAGCATATTATCTAAAAATTATAATATTGAATTTACTCTTAATAACTGAATGTTGTGATAAACCTATATATTATATTATTTATACTATTTAGTATTCTAAATTACAGGATGTTACTAACTTATACATGTGATTTTAGAAAACATAGGGAGGGGAGGTAATCCGTGATGGCATAGTATATTGAAATAAGGATAGTGGATCTATTCTATAATTGATCAATGTGCAACGGAGCTGTTGTCGGGTTCTACTTGCAAACTGCAAAGTAGATTATTCTTACCAACTGTATAGTCGTTGGTAAGAGACTGGATGCGGACTTCTATCGGCTATGAATTTACTTTCCCAATGAGATAACAGCTAAGATATTAACAACGTTTTATTTACACTATATTCAAACTAACAAGAGGTCTACACTACATCTGAAGAATCCACCCGAGATCTTCTTCCTCTTAGCACGACGTGATCCTAACCCTTGCTAACGAATGAATCCTATGTCCTTCCTTCTTCTTTGCCAAATCGAGAGTTTCCCAAAATATGTTTTCGCCCTATATATATATCCCCCGATAGGTGTCGCTCTGAACAAAGAAAATAATTTGAATTTCCCTCCAAATTTGGGAGACACTAGTCTATTTTCTATTGTTACCAAGTACTCAATTAACAATACCCAAGATGTTAATCTTATAGTAAGTACTTATAGGTAACAATAGACCTGTCCAGATAATTATAGAGTATAGTAAATGCTACTATACCCTTTTGTTCCATTACGACCCCAGGAGGTAATAGCATTAGCGGTGACATCTTTGTCTCCAGTCCAGGCAACTTTTTACAACATACAACAAGGCTACATAAGTTCCCTCTCAACCGTAGAAAATACATATCAATATGATTTTCTTGAAATATGTACAAAAAAAAAAAAAAAAATACTATAATAATATACAAAAAAAATACCAATAAAACATAGAAACATTGGATACTACAATATAGTAAAATGAAACAAAAACAAACAATCGAAAAAAATGAACAAATACACACTAATGAGCAACATGCAAATGAAAAAGAAAGAAAAAAAAGTCACTATAATGTGCTAAAAAAAAAGTTTATCGAATGTCACTATATTGTCTTATTGCTGAAAAAAATATATTAAACAAACATGATAAACGTTTGATTTATCTACCGGATAAACTAACTTCTATTGAAAACTGGCACAGATCAGATTTTAAAAAATCAACATTTTTAATAGTTATGCACTCTTTTAACTTTAAACATCATTTCCCTACGACAATCACATTAAGGTCCTTCAATATAAAATTGTATCGAAAAAATTGAAAGACTTTAGTGACTGCATTGCCTTTAGCTTAATGCCCCTAAGGTGCTGGAGAATACTTGGTATATTATCCATCACCGATGACTTGGATATCATATTATTGATATATTTGCCTCGGTAAGTTATTTACCCCACTGCATCTGTCGTCATAGCCACCTAATCCAGATATCCATCTTCGAAAAAATCCAAGTCATCATTTTCGTGGATCTAATGCATATTTTCTCCAATGCTCGAGCTAAATCTTTTATGCAAGCCACGACCTCGACGTTTACGAAATCTGTTTTCCAGCATGATGTTGAGCTCTTTTACCATTTCATCTAAGTCAAAAAAATCTAGCTTCGTCTCGTAGTATGTCTTTTCTACCCCAATGTCTTCAGGCCTTTGGAAGATCTAACTTGTTTCTTTATCAAGGCGATATTCATTCTGTTGATGATACATTTATACATCCAAACTGCTTCGTCGAATTGTTTTGCGGACTTCACTTTGTTGTGTATGTGACGACCTTCGAATTTACAGGAACGAACTGTCAGGGTACCACTGCAACGGAGCTGTTGTCGGGTTCTACTTGCAAACTGCAAAGTAGATTATTCTTACCAACTGTATAGTCGTTGGTAAGAGACTGGATACGGACTTCTATCGGCTATGAATTTACTTTCCCAATGAGCTAACAGCTAAGATATTAACAACGTTTTATTTACACTATATTCAAACTAACAAGAGGTCTACACTAAATCTGAAGAATCCACCCGAGATCTTCTTCCTCTTAGCACGACGAGTACTATATGAGCTTTCAATTAGGTCGCATAAAAGGGGATTTCCCCATTCCATTTCATTTCATGGGGAAAATGCGACCTCATAACATAAAAGACCTAAACATCCTACATTTCATAAATTCTTACACTAAAAAAGACCTAAACATCCTACATTTCATAAATTCTTACAGCAAAAGACCTATATTCCCTACATTTCATAAACACCCCTACATTTCATACACCAAAAAACACCTTCAATCAATTTCCTACATTCCATATTAAAAATAACCTTATATAAAATAACATAACATTTTTAGTAGATGGGAGATAACTCTTTTTGGATAAAAAACAGACTAAATTAACTCATTTAAAAATAGGATGAGTTTAATTCTAAAACACGAACAACACAGATTCGAAGATTATTCGGGCGACGGTATCTTTTCTTCATTATTTTCTCTAGGTAAAACAGTAATTCCAAAAGTAGCTAGCTTTGTTTCAAAAAACAAATCACTCATTTCAAGCGGAGCGAAAGCCATCGGCTCAATCGCTGAAGCGGGAAAGAGTATAAGCGATACAGTGAATCAATCTAACGAGTTGAAAGAATTAGAACTAATAAGAGAACTTCGAAACAAGAGATTAGAAGAAAGGAAAGGAAAAGGTTTTAAAGTTATAGGATAAAAATGATAGTCGCTCACGCTCCAAAAACTTATTTCGGTTCAGGAGATATCCAAAAATCATTGGGTTCTCTTCCTGGATTTCCATGGGCGAAATATCCCGGAGAAAAACATCTTCCCGGTCATAATTATACAGATCCAGGTACTAGGTTAGATCTACGATTAGACGAAAACAATAAACCCAAACCATGGGAAGAACCAGTCAATAGAGTGGACGCCGCTGCGCTTAAACACGATGTACTATACAGAAACAAAGACATAACATCCAGACACGAAGCAGACAAACAAATGATAATCGAACTTGAAAATATTCCAAATCCAACTTTCAAAGAGATAATGGAAAGAGCATTAATCATTAAACTGTTAAAAGCAAAGATGAAATTAGGTATGGGATTGGCGGATGAAATTCATAAAGAATTTAGAAAAACTAAAAACTTTTTAAAAGTCAAAGTGTTTGAAAAAGATGAAATATGGTCAGCCGATTTAATTCATATGCCAATCGAAAGAGGATTTAAATATTGCTTAACAGTTATAGATTTATATACGAGATATGCATGGGTTATTCCTCTCAAAAACAAAACGGGATTATCAGTCAAACACTCATTTGAAACGATTATGAAACAATCTAACCGACATCCAGAAAAACTGTGGGTAGATAAAGGAAGTGAATTTTATAACAAAAATATGAAATCTCTGGGATTTGAAATTTACAGTACGCATAACGAAGGTAAAGCTGTAGTTATTGAAAGATTTAACAGGACTCTAAAAAATAAATTATTCAAAAAGTTCACGGAATTGAAATCTCAAAAATGGCTTAAAATATTACCAGTTGTTGTCGACGAATACAATAACAAAATACATTCGTCTATAGGTGTGACGCCAACACAAGCCTCGAGTAATCCAAATATTATAAAGTCAATTAACGCGCAACATAACTACGAAAATAAAATAAAGAATTTA